TCTCAACATCTTGGAGTTATGTACAGAGTACTTCTGTCCACGGTTCCTAGCAAAGTGCAGTGTCAAAAAAAGTCAGCAGATAGCAAGCAGTGGTCATAGCATATTAATTAAAATAATAATTGCAGTATTACAATTACTATGTTATCTGTCTGTTGCGTACTGTTACTGTTTCGTTTTATACTTAAGTTGAAAATCCTCAGAGCGAGAAGGTTTTTACTGAAGTGTTCACACCACGCTAGGACAGTAAGTCTGAGACGGCTAGGCAACAAGGCTGTTCAAATAAGGATTGTTATTGTGGCAGAGGGATCAGTTGCAGAAGTGCCTTAAATCAGGACCTCTCCAGCTAACTGAGTGGCTCTACCAGTTCAAGTAGTTCAGTTCAGTCGTGTGGCAAGAAAAGAACTGGGAATCACAAAAAAGCTTGCTTTGAAATGTCAGTGGTCAGGACAGACTCTTGAAACACCGCAACTCTCTCTCCAAACCACTGCAAACGTCTCCAAAAGCTACCATCCACCTGTAAAGGGAGTTAAATATGGCAGGTACCACACACTTCACACATGATCTTGCTTAAATATGAAACACTATACTTTTCACACTTCAAAGATACATATATTAATTACAGACCCCATCAAATCAGCAGTCCTACAAAAAGTGACACTTTTACCACCAGATAATTGAGAGCAACTTTTCCTATAGCGGAGAGAACAAATCCTGTTGTTACTATACAGATGTACAGGGATGTGGCAGGTAGTACGGACAGAAAATCAGGTCGCAACAAACACAGCTATGTCAACCAAGAACCAAGTATCCAAGAAAGTTTCAGCCAGATGCTCTCCAAATTCCTTTCCCCATACTTACTGCTGAAGCCCTTCCAGGCCTGGTCACACCCTAATAAGCTGAAAGTAAATTCTTGTTTCTGTTTCTAGTACTGGAGATAGAACAAGTTTTTACATTTTGGATGACTAGGGAGACATATGTACGGTCTGTCAACTCGATCTATGCGCTCCAAAGTGCTCAAAAAAGGAACATGACTGAGAACCACGTCAACTCGGCTAATAATTGGGAGGGAATTTGAGAGAACAAATCTATTCCTCTAACTACTGTCAGTGCTGAACAAACCTTTCAGAAAACAAACATGATAAAAACCCCTAAGGATCTGTTTTCTGAGCAGAATGAAACACATACCCATTAGCCATTTGAAAAAGCTTTAAAAATATTTTAAGCAGTGTGCTAACAATCAAACTGTAATCACAAAAATCGCATGCTTCTAGAGCCACCTCCTGATAGGTTAACTCAGTCCCTGAAGTGGGAAGGGCACTAAATCCACCTGGTGCCAAGCGAGTGTCCTCTGCTCTGCTCCCACCACCTTGGGCTACTTGGCTCACTCAATGCACTTCCTTGGCTCCACTGAACACGGGAAGGGAGGATTCCAGCCTCATCTAGACTTTGCACACCATTCTCACTAAATCGCTCAGAGAACTGCTCTTCTCCCCACCACAAATAAAAGGAAGGCCCTCCTGATTCAAGATACTGCAATTAATTTAGCCATCTCTTATTTTGCCCTCATCCTTTCCCCTCCTCTCACCAAAGCAACTAACGATGATGGAGCTCTAGTGTAGCCAGCCACCTGCCATACAGACAAACTGAGCCAAAACCAGGGCCCAGAACTCAGTGCTAGATGCCATACTGGAAGTAAAACAAGCCCTGAGCTTTAGAGAAAAGGCCCAGTCGAAGTACAAAGAAGCAAAGAGAGAGGCACCCATGCTTTCCAACTGCAAAAGGAAAGAGGATAGGGCAAAGCACTTCAGAACTAAAAATAACTCTAGCTCCCTATTCACTAACCATCGCCACATAAAGGTACCCCTAACCCTTAAGGCTGAATTGTGTCCACTGACAAAATCTCAGTGATATTTCTGGATCTACACAGACTTCACAGAGGAGGGCTTTTCAACTGCGTTAATCTGTGAACCCAAGTTGTCTTCTTTGTCCAAAGAAAGAATGCCGTAACGTGGTAAAGAGTTAGTATTTTCAGTTTTGCAAAAAAGAAAACCAACTTTTTACATAAGCTACTGAGACTCGGTGTTTTTACTTCTTTAACTACTGATAGAAACTATTTTATAGAAAACAGTCTACAAGATGTTTTCAAACCAACTACAGATGTATTCTAGAACATGAGAACTTGGAAGTGAAACTGAACTGTGAACAGCCGAAACAGTTTCTAGTGCCTTTGTCCAGGATGAGAAAAGCAGGGTATGTAATTTTTTTTTTTTTAATATTTTGCTTTTGGCCTTAGGTTTTAAAATTTCCTTTTTGTGTTATAAGAAATGTTAAGATGTCTGGACAAAGTTTTTACAACAGTGCCAACACTGGTACTCAAAAAAAAATGTCAAATGCTTGTCAGAGGTGCTGAGTACACACAGTCCCCGCTGACCTCAGTGGAACCTACTGTTGCTCAGCACATCTGAAAACCCGATACTGTCTCTTACATGACCAGGTGTCCAGGTTGTAGCCAGATTGGTTTAGATGCCAAAGGGATCAAAACTTGTGGAAGAGGTGATATATTTTTTTTTTATTAGACCAACAAGATATCTGCAAACAAATTATTTTATTTATTTGCAAGCTTTCGGGCACACACACCCTTCATCAGGCATAGGAGAGGGCAAAGATTGTAAAAGTTCTTCTAGGCAAAAATGAAAATTCATGACCAAGTATAAATTTAGGATCCTAACTCTGGTTGCCCATATCTGACAAATCTACAACAGCTCTTTAACAGCTTTTTTCACAATGCACACTTAAGAGAAAGCAGCAAAACAGAAAGCAAGGCAACACCTTTTACAGCTAGCTACGCTAGATTGACTTTTTTTCCAAGTTCATATGTTGTGAAGAGTTTTTAGAGTTATATTTTTGTCACAGCACCAAAACATGCTGGTGGAATGGTACCCTAGATGAAGAGTTCCTATGATTTCACCAGGACAAAACAAGTGGGTAACTCAAGCAAATGGTCTTTGCAAACAAAACTGTCTGAAACTCGGCGCAGTTCCTACCCCTATACAGGTCTTCACATCTCACAAATCCCAGCAGATTCTAATGAGCAGTACACCTGTTGGTGGTTTCTGCAGCAAGCCCATAACCTGACCTGGATATGGAGACTGAACTTCCTCACCCTTAGAGATTGACCCACCACATCAATCAAAGGAAGGTCTGCCTGGAAAACCCCACATACCCTGCACTTGTTCTGTGGATAAAGTAACTCAAGCATCCAGTGCTAGCAATCAATATCTTTAGCGTACACCAGCTTCATTAAAACAAAAATACTAGAGCAAAGGAACCAAAGCATCTGTCACACACTAAAATTGAGATAAACTACATTTAAAGCAGGATTGCTACTACAGCATTTGTTGTCCCTGCAATTATATCAGTCCGTAAGTTGATCGCCCTGCCTTTGTTGCACACTGCAGGTACATCCCTCCCAGTGATCCTAGCTCCTTGTGGCTTTATGTCATGAGATGTTACAGAACCTTGATCGCTGGAGACTTGTCAAGAATAGGTTGGATAAATAACTGTCAGAAAGAGTTTGCGTACAGCTGACCCTGCCTTGGGGCAGGGGGATAAACTAAGTCAGTGGTTTTCAACCTGTGGTCTGCAGACCCCCGGGGGTCCACAGACTATGTCTAAGGGGTCCGGGAAAGATGATTCTGATCAATCAATAGTATGCAAATACCCACACTTACAATTCGAAGGGGTCCGCACCTCCATGTGAATTTTTTTAGGGGTCCACAAATGAAGAAAGGTTGAAAACCCCTAGACTAGGTGACCTCGAGGTATCGTCCAGCTCTCCTTTCTGAGATGCAGCCAAATTAAAACTAGCAGGACTGTGAAGATATTTTAACATGACAGTAAACAGCTGTGTGAGCTTACATTTTATGAACAGGGCTAGGGTCAAAGAAGAAACGACTCAACACAGCAGACTACGTTTCTAATACTCTTTATACGTTTTGAATATTCGTGGAGTTCCTTTCAAATCTGAGTAGCTACCAGGAAATGCAACAATATCTGATGTTTGAGGTGAATGGGGATGTGCGCGCACAAACATGCACACACACATACACGCACTTTAAAATCTTGACCAAAATTTTAAAATTGCTGTTTTGCATGGAAGCATACCTGGGGAGTGCAGAAAGGGACAGGATTTTTGGTATCCCACCTCATCGTAAGGACACCCCCTTGTAATGATCAGACTAAATGAATGGGTGGGTACTGCAGAATGAGTGTAAAGCTATTTCTAATGACTAGTCTTGCTCTCAGGTGTTGACATCAAGATTTTATTTAATGGTATTTTCCTACTGCTACCACCACCGGTTCCATTTCTATCAGCATTAGGTCTTGTCACAAAAAAGTTTGATTACACTGGTCTGGTAACAAAAGCTACAGGCTCTAGTAATGCTCGAAGCGATAACCAAGCAACTGTATGAAGAAGCTGCTGGCTTTTTACCTGTAGTGTCACTGAAAGGTGCTCAGCACAGGCCTATATTCTTTTGTCCTGCAAAGGGCAATGCTGTGATCTACACCATCTTACCGTCATAACCCTCCATGGATCTTAACTAATGCAAAAAGTGATAGAAAATGAATATTAGAAAATATATCTATATACCCTGCAGTCTTCCAAGCCTCAGATCTGGCTAGGCCACAGCCAAGTGCTCTGCCTGAAGTGTCAAAGTAATTCGAGAGGCACTAAGGACTCGTATGTATAAAATTAAAAAAAAGGAAAAGGAAAAGCTTTTTGAAAGAGGCTACAAACTCCCCTGCACCGAGTCTGAAAGTGAATGGGACAAGATAATTTTCAAGCACTTTCAGAAGCATGCGAAAGAAAAAGAAACCTCCATCCACTTAAAGATTCACCACAGGCCCCAGACCATTTCCAACTTATCTGATGCATAATGAAATACTGACCTCAAAATCGGAGCCTTTACACCCTATTTCGTCAGCTCCGAGGCTCTTACCTTATCCTTCTCATGGGGAAGAAGCGACACAGGTGGCAGACAGGAAAGAGACTCGCAGCTTTCCTTCCCGTCAGCATTAGCGACTGCTTTAGTGTTGAGCTGGTAGAGAGGTCCATCTTTAAGGAGTCTGCCATGGCCAACAGCACGCTTGACAGCTAGTCGCAATTGCTGGTGAAAAGCGGAAGCAGCACTACCTCCAAACAACACAGACACGTCCTTCTGACCTTTCAAAAAGCGCTCTATGTTTTTCAAGGACGAGCCACTGGACTCCGCCAAGCCCTCGATCGCCCGCTTGATCAGTTTATTCCAGTCCACGTTTGGTTTACCATCCAACTTGCCATGGTTTCGAGGCTTCGGAAGTGCTATTCTCCCCGGATTATCGGGATCCTTGTAGGAATTGAGACCCTTGTTGGAGACTTTTAAAATAGTCCCATCTTTAACACTTAATTCTAGTTGTTCCAAAACAGTTTTACGGTCCAAACCATGGGATGAAGACACCGCATTGCATATCCTCTCCTCTGAAGGGCGTTGTTTTTGCTTCTTGACCTTTTTAATCGCCTCCAAAATCCACTCAGTATACAGCGGGTTGGCGAGTTTTACCATGGTGAAGACTTCTGTATATCCATAGAGTCGTTATCCCTTATCCCGATGCTGCACAAGTTTCACACCGTGGGAAAACAGATTCTCGGAGGAGAGTAACCAGCTAACCATAGCATACACGTTTCTGATATGAACTGCTTCTCTTTGATCCAATATTAATTTTCTTAAAACTGAAAGAAACACAACACATCCCATTAGGAACTGATCCACGCTTCCCAACAGATCCCACCACCGCTCCCGCGGCAAGCCTGGCAAAGCTGGAAAGCTGTCAAAGCACATCTTACCTCGCTTCGGGACTCCTGCGCCGCGATCGGAAAGAGAACTGGAATGTTACGCCTGCAAGAAAACGGGACGGAGTAATTTCTGAGCAACAAAAGTCACAACGCCGAAGTCTGACTTCCACCACCCTACGGACAGACGGACACCTCACAAAGTTTTCCTGAGACCACCCTCGCCGCCCCGGGAGACCGCCAAGTCGCGAAACAGAAAAACACCGCGTTCGCGCGCAGGGACACAACTGAGTACCGAAGGTGACAAGGCCATGCTGTTCCCGCCCAGCCAAGGCGAGTCCCGAGCAGAGAGAGTCGGGACGGACGACGCGCGGAGGAAAGACTACCTGGCGCCTTTTGTCTGCGGCCGGGGTTTTACGGCGGACCCCAAAGCGCCCCCATTGTGCCTGGTGTAGGCACGAAAGGGCGCGCGGCGAAAAGGGGGTGCACGCCGCAGCCACCCCTCCTCGCGATCCGAAAGCCGCCGCGACACCTGCCCGCCAAGGCGGCGCGGAGAAAGTTGTGCGGAAACCTGCGGGCGTCCCCTCGCCGGGGCTGGGGCCGGGAGGCGGCGGGTGACAGGACGCCGGCCGCACGGGCGGGAAGCCCCCCGAGTGCCCGGCCTCGC